CTCTGATTTTTTGAATTTCCAGATTTTCTGCACTGCTTTTTCCCCATCTTTGTGGTTTTATCAGCCTTTGGTCTTTGATGTTGGTGATGTACTGATGGGGTTTTGGTGTGGGTGTCCTTTCTGTTTGTTAATTTTCCTTCTAAGAGTCAGGACCCTCAGCTGTAGGTCTGTTGGAGTTTGCTTGAGGTCCACTCCAGACCCTGTTTGCCTGGGTATCAGCAGCGGAGGCAGCAGAAGATAGAATATTGCTGAACAGCGAGTGTTGCTGTCTGATTCTTGCTCTGGAAGCTTCATCTCAGGGGTGTACCCTGCCGTGTGAGGTGTGAGGTGTTGGTCTGCACCTAGTGGGGGATATCTCCCCCTAGGCTACTCAGGGGTCAGGTACCCACTTGAGCTGGCAGTCTGTCCCGTTCTCAGACCTCAACCTCGGTGTTGGGAGATCCACTGCTCTCTTCAAAGCTGTCAGACGGGGGCGTTTACCTCTGCTGAGGTTTCTGCTGCTTTTTGTTTAGCTATGCCCTGTCCCCAGAGGAGGAGTCTACAGAGGCAGGCCGGCATCCTTGAGCTGTGGTGGGCTCCACCCAATTCCAGCTTCCTGGTGGCTTTATTTACCTACTTAAGCCTCAAGAATGGTGGGCGCCCTCCCACAGCTCTGCTGCCATCCTGCAGTTAGATCTGAGACTGCTGTGCTAGCAATGAGGGAGGCTCCGTGGCAGTGGGACCTTCTGGGCCAGGTGTAGGATATAATCTCCTGGTATGCCTTTTGCTAAGACCCTTGGTAAAGCACAGTATTAGGGTGGGAGTTACCCAATTTTCCAGGTGTTGTGTGTCTCGATTTCCTTGGCTAGGAAAAGAAATTCCCTTTCCCCTTGTGCTTCCCAGGTGAGGTGATGCATTGCCCTGCTTCAGCTCTGGATGGTCATGCTGCACCCACAAACCAGAGTCAAGTGTCCGACACGACCCAGTGAGATGAACCTGGTACCTCAGTTGAAAATGCAGAAATCACCTGTCTTCTATGTCACTCACACTGGGAGCTGGAGGCTGGAGCTGTTCCTATTTGGCCATCTTTGGCATGTCCCCCCCAGATATTTTTATATTGAAGGATTTATTCCAAGTCAATAATTAGAAAGGATAAAAAAGATTTACATGCAGTTATGCATTGCAGCACTTATAATATAAAAAATTAAAAATCAAAAATATTAATTTGTTAAGTAATGGGATTTCCAAATAATGGCCTTCTATATAGCCATTAAAGTTGTGATTTAATAAATATGCATTTAATTATCAGCAGAAGTATTCACATTTAAGAACTTGTATTATTTAAAAGAATTTGACACTCTACAAGACAGAGATTTTTCTCTCCAGTTAAACCTCAGAAGGTAAGGCAGCTTTTACAAAAAGTATCCTACATAATTTTAGTATAAATAATTGAAATATTTATTTAAAACTAGGATGTCATACCTCACACTGCAGAGCTCTTGTTCCCATTTAACTTTTTGGTTCTCTAACTGTGATTTTATTTCTTTTGCTTCTGATAGTTCCTTTTGTAGTACACAAAATTTATTTTTCATTTTTTTCAGTTTTGTTGTAAGTTGTTCACAGTGATCTTTTTTAAGTTCCCGTGCTCTTTTACAAGAAGGAACTGCATCCAAGATTTTTGATAGGCTAGTTGAATCTGTCACAAGGAGGAGATAGAAATAAAACGTATTAGTACTTTTGGGATATAAAGGGCTGCATATTTTAACAATCAATAACTCACACACTGAACAAATTTATATTGATTGCCTACCATGGGGAAGGCATTATACTACGTTCTGCAGATTAAACAGAAAAAAAAAAAAAAAAAAAAAAAAAAAAAAAAAAAAAAAAAAAAAAAAAACTCTGCTCTTGTTTAGCTTAAAATATAAAATAAAAAGCAAAGCCCCAGAAAAGTTACAATTGTAAATTCAGATAGATACTGTAAGAAAACAGATTGCTTAGAATAAGATCTATACTAGGCCCATGGAAAAATCCCCTGAGGAATGTATGGCTACACTGAGGAACAAATCCTGAAAAGGATGTAGTTGAGCAAGTGGGGAAGAAAAGCATTTTAGCCAGTGTGTGGCATGTGCTGAAGCTCTAGTGTAGTCTGCCTCTAGCCACAAGAGAACAACAGGTGTTGATTTTTCTTCTTAGCTAAAATAATTAAAAATAAAACACACAAAATACACTAAACAATTTTTTAGACAGTGGACATTAGGCAAAGAAGATGATAATCCCTGAAAAACAGAAAAAGAAAATGGAAAGCAAACCTCATGAATGTTTCAGCTTCCTGCCTTGACAGAGATTCCAAGACATGACACAAGAAGAAAAAACTGAAGTGGAACCTACCAGACTCTCTTTGTTGCATTGCTGAAGCTTAGAGTCTGGTAAAACCAAAGGAGACAGACAACACCAAACAGAACACTGAGGAGGAGAGAGAGATACAGAAGCGAAAGCAAGAAACCCCTGGAAATCCCCTCCCAGTATTTAGCAAAATAATGAAGATTGCATGTGAGCCAGAAAACTACCTAAGACCAAGCCAGGTCAGGGGGACTTATAAAGTTAGTGAAAATCACACCTGTGCTTACATAGTACCAAGAAGAGTGCCTATTTTTATAGATTTGCCTGGGAAGACTCAGACTTCCCAGGAAAATGAATAGTCTGAAAGGTCTTGCCTCAGGTGTGGGGAGTTAGCTCATGCCATAAAAAGAAAAAGTAAAAAGGATCAAGCTGTTCATACGTAACTCAACTCTATTCTACAATAAAAATCAAGAAGATAAGTAGAGCAATAGAAGATACTTTAAAAAACTAAATTACACTTGTAAAGATACAAGTTACAATGCTGGAGATGAAAGCTACGCTGAGTAGATATGAGCATAGATTGATTTGCCACCAAGAAAGAAAAGTTTCATAAATTTGAGACACTAGAGAACTATCAGCAAACTCCCAACACATAATATATAAGTCCCTAAAGAAGTAGGAGGCGAGACAGAAAAAAAGTTTGAGGAAAAATTGGCTAAATATATTCTAAACTTAATGAAAGCTACAATCCCACAGATCCAGGCTGGTATCTGGCTGGAAGTGAAGAAATGAAAATATAAGATTGTAATTTCTTATACCATCTATGTTATGATGTAATATTACTTGAAGGTGGGTTGTGATGAGGAAAATCCATACACTATATATCCTAAAACAACCACTAAGACAGCAAAGCAAAGAGTTATATCTAATAACCAAATAAACTTATATGACAAAAAGATATGACTAAATCATAAAGAAATATAAAACTAGATCAATAACTAAAAAACATTATACCTATATATATACATATAAAACTAAATCATAAAAATTGCTAAACTAGTCTGAAGGAAGCAGAAAAAGAATAAAACAAAGCAAAGAAGATCTGGGACTAATAGAAATCAAACAGCATGGTGACAGACAATTTTTATCATATCAATAATTACATTATAAATTAAACTGATCGAAAAACCTCTGCTCAAAGGCAGATTGTCAGAATGGATATGAAAGTAAGATCTACCTGTATAACACCTATAGGAAATCAACTTTAAATATAAAGACAAAAATTGGTTAAAGATGAAACAAGACACACCACACTAACACGAAAAAAGAAGACATGACAAAAGAAGACTGAGGAAGAGTGGTTGTATTAATACCAAAGTACATTTCATAGCAAAAATATTACCAGCAATAAACAAGGTCATTTTATAGTGACAAAGGGTTCACTTAATCAAGAAAACATAACAGTCCTAAATATTTTTGTAGAAAATAATGTAAATCCTTCAAAATACATGATACAAAAATAGATAGAACTGCAAAAGAAATGGACAAATGCCCAAGTATAGTCTAAAATTTCTAAACCCCTTACTCAAGTAGTAGAATAAGGAGGCAGAAAGTCGGCAAGAATGTGGTAGACTTTACACCATTCTTCAGAAGTACTTAAAGACTATATTCTAGATCATATCTTAATGAAAGGATTGAGAAGGATTTAGGTCACACAAAACATGTTACCTGACCCAAAAACAATGAAATTAAAAATCAATAATAAAAATGTACCTGGAACAACTCAACTATTGGAAATTAAGTAACATAACATCCAAACAACCCTGGGTTGGTTCCAAAAATAATAAAAAGAAAAATTAGAAAGTATTTTGAACTAACTTCAAATGAAAACCCAACACGTTAGATATTGTAAAATGCATCTACAACAGCACTTAAATAAAAATTTTCAGCACTGAATGTCTACATTAGAAGACTCTCAAATAAATAACTTTGACTTTTACCTTAAGAAACTAAAGAAAAAAATAAGAAAAAAGTAAACTCAATGGAAGTAGAGGAAATGATAAATATCTGCATTGGCTTGAATGTTTTTGTCTTTGCAAATTTCATATGCTAAAATCAAATCACAGAGGTGATGTTATTAGGAGGCAGGAGTTTTGGGATGTAATTAGGTCATGAGGGCCACCCTTCATAAATGGATTAATGCTCTGATAGAAATAACCCCAGAGAGCCTCTTTATCCTTTCTGCCATGTGAGGACACAGGGCAAAAGAATGCATCAATGAATCAGGAAGTGGTACCTCTTCAGACATAAAATCTGATGATACCTTGATCTGGAACTGTGCGGCTTCCAAAATTGTGAGAATTCAATCTATGTTCTTGATAAGCTCCCAACTATAGATTTTTTAAATAATAGGCAAAGAGAACTAAAACATCAGAGATGGAACTAATAAAACACAAAAATGATAGAAAAATTGAACAACACCAAACACTTTGAGAGGATCAATAAAAGCAAAAGTCTATCTAGCCAAACTAGCTCTTGAAAAGAAAAAGCTACAGTTACTAACTCTGGAAATGAGTTAATGTGACATTATTATAGATTCTACAGATACTTAAAAATACAAGGTAATATTAAAAAATGTATGTGAATAAACATGACAACTTAGACAAAATTGACAAATTCATTGAAATGTGAAAATTACCATCTGATTTTTGACGAAACTGAAAAAAAAAAAAAGCAATGGGAAAAGAATTCCCTATTTAATAAATGGTGTTGGGAAAACTGGCTGGCCACATGCAGAAAACTGAAAACTCACCCCTTCTTTACACCTTATACAAAAATTAACTCCAGATGGATTAAAGACTTAAGCATAAAACCTAAAACCATAAAAAGCCTAAAAGAAAACCTAGGCAATACCATTCAGGACATAGGCATGGGCAAGGATTTCATGACTAAACATCAAAAGCAATGGCAACAAAAGCTAAAATTGACAAGTGGGACCTAAATAAACTAAAGAGCTTTGGCACAGCAAAAGAAACTAGCATCAAAATGAACAGGCAACCTTTAGGATAGTAGAAAATTTCTGCAATCTATTCATCTGACAAAGGGCTAATATCCAGAACCTATAATAACTTAAACACATTTACAAGAAAAAAACAAACAACTCCATCAAAAAGTGGGCGAAGGATATTAACAGACACTTCTTCAAAGACGACATTTATGCAGCCAACAAACATAGGAAAGAAAAATTCATCATCATTGATCATTAGAGAAACGCAAATCGAAACCACAATGAGATATAATCTCATGGCAGTTAAAATTGCAATCATTAGAAAGTCAGGAAATGAGCCTGTAATCCCAACACTTTGGGAGGCCGAGACAGGCGGATCATGAGGTCAGGATATCGAGACCATCTTGGCTAACACGGTGAAACCCCATTTCTACTAAAAAATACAAAAAACTAGCTGGGCGAGGTGGCGGGTGCCTGTAGTCCCAGCTACTCAGGAGGCTGAGGCAGGAGACTGGCGTAAACCCGGGAGGCAGAGCTTGCAGTGAGCTGAGATCTGGCCACTGCACTCCAGCCTGGGTGACAGAGTGAGACTCTGTCTCAAAAAAAAAAAAAAAAAAAAAAAAAAAAGTCAGGAAACAACAGATGCTGGAGAGGATGTGGAGAAATAGGAACACTTTTACACTGTTGGTAGGAGTGTAAATTATTTCAACCATTGTAGAAGACAGTGTGGTGATTCCTCAAGGATCTAGAACCAGAAATACCATTTGACCCAGCCATCCCATTACTGGGTATATACCCAAAGGATTATAAATCATGCTACTATAAAGACACATGCACACGTATGTTTATTGCGGCACTATTCACAATAGCAAAGACTTGAAACCTACCCAAATATCCATCAATGATAGACTGGATAAAGAAAATGTGGCCCATATACACCATGGAATACTATGCGGCCATAAAACAGGATGAGTCCATGTCCTTTGCAGGGACATGGATGAAGCTGGAAACCATCATTCTCAGCAAACTAGCACAAGAACAGATAACCAAACACTGCATGTTATCACTCATAAGTGAGAGTTGAACAATGAGAACATATGGACACGGGGAGGGGAACATCACACACCAGGACCTGTTGTGGGGTAAGGGGCTAGGGGAGGGGTAGCATTAGGAGAAGTACGTAATGTAGACGATAGGTTGATGGGTACAGAAAATCACCATGGCGCATGTATACCTATATAACAAACCTGCACGTTCTGCACATGTAACCTAGAACATAAAGTATAACAATAATAATAGAAAAAAGAAAAAATTTTAACTAGGAATAACAGTATACTGATTCTGGC